AGTAGAAACTGATCAATGAATAAACCTATTTGTGTTTTGCAAATAAGTTTTCTACACTGGTACAAATTAAGAAGAAAGATTCTTCATGCAAATGTGCATTCATTTTCCCGATTATCTCCTCATAAACCTTCTGAAACAACAGTGGAATTAGCATCACACATTAAATTGCTGATGGGGAAAAGAATGCACTGACTCTAATTCAACCTAACTGCATTCAAAACTCTACTTCTCAAAGTCTGTCCACCTTACCCTGTTATGAAGCACATTTATAGAACGCCAATTTGCTGCTGGCCAAGTTTAATAACAGAGTTCTGCTCTTACAGTTTATCTAATTCATGTGAAAACAGCAAAGGTCCATGTGTGCTTTGTTACCTGAAATGCTCCTCCTCCACGGCCCTCTCCTACAGTTACAAATCTTTCCTCAAAGACATCTTTTCCAGCCAGGTGCCAGGGGCTCACACCTGTCATCCTAGCTACTCAGGAGGCTGAGACCTGAGGATCACAGTTCGAAGCCAGCCAGGGCAAAAATATCCATGAGATTCTTATCTCCAAAAAAACTACCAAAAAGCTGGAAGTAGAGCTATAGCTCAAGTGGTAGAGCGCTATCCTTGAGCAAAATAGAATTTCAGGGACAGTTCCCGGGCCTTGAGTTCAAGCCCTAGGACTGGCACAAAAACAAAAACAAAAAGCACAAAAACAAAAAGCAGACAACAACAAGATATCCTCCATGCATGTATGGGGAGAAATGGAACTCAATGCTTGTTGACCACCAGTAACAATAAGTAGGGAAAGACAAGCTCTCATGTTCTGGAAGCTGGGGAATGGGAGAGGAATCACCCTTTGTACATCTGCAAGGGTTGCTGAAAATGATTTTGTTATTTCATTCTTTTGGCTACCTGATTAGAGCAAAGGCATGTCTATCTTTTTTAAGGTCTAGAACTAAATTGCTTGACCTCCTTGGACTTCTGCTTCCTCCTTTATATACAGAAGTAGATCCAGTACTAACTTGTTATTAACTCACTGGTTCAGTAAATATTTTGCTGATCCATGTACTTAACCCTGGTTTTTCAAGTGAGAGGAACCAAAGGTCTACATATTTGGATGTCCTGAGAGCCGCAGTAATAACCTGTGAGTGAAAATACCTTTTAAAAATATCCATGAGGAGCTAGGTACCAGTGGCTCACACCTGTAATCCTAGCTACTCAGGAGGCTGAGATCTAAGGATTGTGGCTCAAAGCCAGCCTGGTCAGGGAAGTACATGAGATTCTGATCTCTAATAAACTGCTCTAATAAACTGCTCAAGAAAAGCTGGAAGCAGGGCTGTGGCTCAAGTGGTAGAGTGTTAGTCATTAGCGAAAGAAACTCAGGAATAGCACCCAAGGCCTGAGTTCAAGCTTTAGTACACACACACACACACACACACACATACATACACACACATCCATTAGGGGCTATGGATATAGTAAGTGCATTTGCCTAGCGTGTGTGTAATCCTAAATTCATTCCCAGTACCAAAATACCCCACAAAATCCAACAAATAAAGTCCTACGAATAAAAAAAGTATATTCTTATTTTATTTGTGTTTCTGTTGACTAATCTTCTACAAACACCATCTATTTGCTCCTTATGGATGTTGATGAGTTGTCTACTTAACAAAAAAAGAAAAAGGTTTTGTTAGGTTAGAGGGGGAAATGACTTATAAAAAAATCACTATAGCCAGGTGTTAGTGGCTCACACGAGCTACTCAGGAGGCTAAAATCCAGAGGAGCAAAGTTCAAAGCTGTCCTGGGGAGAAAAGCTTGCAAGAATCTCTCTACAAATTAGCAAGCAAGAAGCTTGGCTGAAGGCATGACTTAATGGTTAAAACACCAACCTAGGAAGCTAAAGGTCCTGAGTTCACAAACCCAACAACATCTCCCAAGAAACAAAACACAACAGAAACCAAATGAGAATAACAAGGGAATGTCTTTTGTGGGCGCTTGGGCCCCTAAGTTATTTTATTTCTTCCTCATATAAGCCTCTGGGAAGATATCATCACCCCAACTTTACAACTAACAAAAAAAACCTGTGGGGCTGGGAAGGTGGCTCAGTGGTAGAGCATTTGCCTTGCATGCTCGAGGCCCTGGGTTCGATTCCTCAGCACCACATAAGCAAAAAGAAAAAAGCCGGAAGTGGCGCTGTGGCTCAAGTGGTAGAGCG